GAGTAACTTGAAATTGTTATAGGATCGAAGTTGGGGTTGGAGGAGTTTGATGAGTGTATCCGAGAAGTTGATGTTAAGTCATGTTTTGTATTTGTATGCAAAATATTTTTTAATTCAAAATATATTTAAATATTATTTTAAAATTTTTTATTTTATTTTTAACATCAATACATAAAAAACCATAAAAAAATTATAAAATAAATTAATTTAATATTTTTTCAAGTAAAAAACATTTTAAAATACAAGTTAAACCACAAAACCAAATACCCTCTAAATCCGATAAAACAATTAAGTATGAAGATTTTATTGTTAGATCAGTTGTTAAGTGAAAGTGAATAATTCCTTCAGTGAATATTATTTGAGCTTGAAACTTGTTTATACACTATATTATGCTAGGATCAAATTTTTATTAATTAGAATGAAAATTATTAAATTTAAATTTAAGATTACTTGATCAATAAAGTTTTAATATTATTTTAAAAATTATTTTAATTTAAAATTTTAATTTATTAGATGAAATCTTAAGAATTATTTTATATTACTCTAATGTTTTCAAGATTACCAGGTGTGGATTTGTAAATAATTTGCAGTAAAATTTAATTTTTTTTATATTGTTTATGTTTTGGGTAATTCTTTTAAGGTTTTATTTATAACGAGTAATGATGGTTGTGATGGTATAAATGTTGTTAGTGTTTTTTATTTTAATTAACAATTTAAATTAATTGTCATTTCTTCTTGTATAGTGAATGGCACCTATGTTATTGTTAAATATATTGTTTTACATAAATTTGGGGTGAAATATATTATAAGAATTTTTTTATACATTATTTTTATACTTAGTTACAATGATTGCTAAGTTACTTAAAATTATTATTATATAGAAGTTGGGGGTGGAAGTGTTTGACAAGAGTGAATTTAAGTATATGATATTAAATGTTTGGTAATACATGTAATATATTTTTTAAGAATTGTTTTAATTAAAAATATATTTAAATAATAGTTTTTATATTTTAATATCAACATATTAAAACCATAAAAAAATATGAATATTATTGTTAAATATGTAGTTTTTACATAAATTGGGGTGAAATATATTATAAGAAATTACTTTTTGCCTGTTTGTTTTGCCTGCATTTAGTGAATATTTTGTAAATATGGGATTTGAGGAAGATTTTTGAAAAAGTTGTCAAGCATTTAGGATGAATTATACAGGTTTTGCTTATTCTCTTTTCAAGAAAAAAAAAAGTGGGAAAATATTCTTTTCATAAAAAAACTCATTAACATTAAGATCAACTATTTTAATAGCAAAAATTAATATCAGCTGATAGTTTTCTCTTGCCTTAATCAAAATCTAACAACTCCTCTTATCTCTCTAAATACGAGATTTAAAAGTAAAAAAAATAAACTATGAGAACAAAAGTAAATTTATAAAACTAAAAGGATTGAAAGCATTCGATAGAAAACTATATGAACCAAACTTAACTCCATCAACTTTCAGTCTTGTCCTTTCTTTTTTAATGATTTAGAAGCAATGAGTCATCAATTTTCATAACCAAAAAATTATTTTAATCTATAATGAATTGTAAGAGTTTGCATGACATCACAATGCTTAGCCTTTTTATAATTTTCAAGGGAATCTTTGAACCAATTATATCTAATTTGTTTTGCACATGATGCATAGTGATTGTGTACCATATATGCTTTCTTGGTTGCTCCATCAACATTCAAGCTAATCCATAACAAGTTATTTATAAAATCTAGAAACATTGTTTCAAAAAATGTGAATTAGTAGAGAATACCACATCATATAAATAGGAATGAAAAACCCTACCTTTTTTGCATATAAAAATGAAATGGTGACCTCATAGACTTTTAAAAATCTTTTTTCTTTATTCACTTTATGTTATTTGCATTAAGGTATATAAGTACATGTATATCATATGATTACTGAAACTGACTAAAGGTTTGAGTTCTGTATTAACTCATAAATTATTGGGTTAATTTAATTTAATTATGAAATAATGTTGTTTTGGATATTTTTTTAAAAAAAAACTAAAATTACATCATTTTGGATAAAAACAATTTAAAAAAATTCTTTAGAATTGACATGAGCTAGTAAATCTAATTACAAATTGACTTGCTAGGTTACTTGAGTTTGACTAGAGTAATGTTTAAAAGTTTGATTAGAGTAATGTTTAAAAAAGTTTTAAAGGAATGCCTTATAAGGCTAAGCTCTGAATTGACATATCATCAAATTGACCTCTTAGGCTAGGTTTATTGTATTCGAGAATAATATAAATCATATTTTTAGATTGTATATAATAACTTAAATGTTTGAACCTTGTTAATCAAGTGATCATAAGTTTACATTTTGATATTTCATTTACCAACTTAAATGTTTGGATTAAGAACATAATTTAAGATATTAACAATGGAATATCCATGAGTAAAGAACGTTTGACCAAAAATTATAGACATTGTATGCAAATCTCTCTAACAAATTCTAGATCATGCACTTAATTTATACATAAACTATGCCATGCATACTATTGATTAATACTTAGAAATGTATTTTTATCAAGATTTTATATCATCATTTTGCACTTGAAGCATCAAAACTCCTTAACTAAATCCTATTTTATAATAACATATCTCATAATATAAGATACTTTTAATTTGTGATAAATGTTCATCTTAAATATAGGCCCATCACATAAATGAAAAGGATTGATTGATGAGTTTAAGTACTAAAATTGAAAGGACAAAGAGATGACCAAACTTAGAAAAGAGATGTTGGTGCAGTCTAAACCGAAACACTATTCTGTAATTGGGTCATAACTGGAGTTGTAGATCTCGGATTTATATCTATTTTATATGGATGGAAAGGTAAAACATAGACCTACAACTATCATAAGAGTCCAAGATTTAAAAAGATCGTTTTCAAGTCTAAATTATAGTAACAACAAAGAAGTCTGAATCTGTCTTGCAGCCCAGATACTGTTTAGTGTACAGCTCATATCTTGAGTTCTAGAAGTCCAAATGACCTTAATTTTTTTTAAAAAAAAAAGTTGAGACAATTTTCCAGAACTTTAATATGGAGGTCTATTCAAATTTTGATGTTATCAATGACATTTTATTTGGACAAGAAGAGGAGGATTGTCACCAAGTCAAGATGTGGCTACCCACTCATAAATTAGTCATCAAATTAATAGTTCCTAATTTTGGCCTATAAAAGGAGCCATTTATCATGCATTTAGGCATCTCGAATTTCTAGATCAAGATCATACTCTTACTTTCTCTCTTTGTAATGCTTAAGTTTTATTTTCATTAATATCAAGTTTATACCTTTCAATTTCTTTCCTTTACTTAGTTAACTTTTATCTTATTTATGTTTTTATCTTGTTTATTTATATTTTTATCTTTCATTATGTTTAGCTAAATTTATTATGTTAAGGTGAAAAGGTTAAAATAATGGTGTAAGAATAAGTATAGTGTAAACTTAATATGAACTTTAATGTTTGATACTAACATGCTTTGTATTTTTTATCTTCTTCACTCTTTAATATTTTGCTCATTAAATGACTAAAGCATGTTTTATACTAATATATCTAATAATATAAGATACCTTTAATTTATGGTAAATGTTCATTTTAAATGCAAGCCTATCACACAAATGAAAGTATTGATTGATGAGTTTAAGAACTGAAATTAAAAGGACAAATAGATGGCCAAACTTAGAAAAGAGATGTCGGTGCAGTCCAAACTGAAACACTATTCTGTAATTGGGTCATATCTGGAGCTGTAGATCTCGAATTTAGGTCTATTTTATATGGATGGAAAGGTGAGACATAGACCTACAACTTTTATGTAGAGTCTAAGATTTACAAATGTCATTTTCAAGTTCAAATTGTAGTAATAACAAAGAAGTCTGAATTTGTCCTTTAGCCAAAACACTATTTAGTATTTGACCCATATCTGGAGTTCTAGAAGTCCAAATAACCTCTATTTTTTTCTTAGAAAACTGAGACAATTTTCTATAATGTTCATGTTTCAAGTGGTTTCAATTCTGACGTTATCAATGACGTTTTGGGCAAACAATAAAAGATAAAATAGTTCCTAATTTTGACCAAGTCAAGAGTTGGCCATCCACTCATCAATTAGTCATCAAATCAGTAGTTCCTAATTTTGACCTATAAAATAAGATATTTGCCATATATTTAGGCATCTTGGTTTCCAGGTCAAGAGCATGCTCTTGCTTTCTCTCTTTGTATTTTTGTAATGCTTAAGTTTTGCTTTCATTAATATCTTGTTAAGTTTATGCCTTTCAATTCCTTTCCTTTACTTAATTAACTTTTATCTTATTTATGTTCTTATTTTGTTTATTTTTATTATTATTATGTTTAGCTAAGTTTATGATATCAAGGTGAAAAGTTACAATAATGGTCTAAGAATAAGTATAATGTAAACTTAATATGGACTTTAATGTTTGATACTAACATGTTTTGTATATGTTATCTTGTCTACTTTTTAATACTTTACTTGTTAAATGATTAATCTAGATTTATGTTGTATAACACTTAGTACAACAAATGCTTGACACTTTTATAGTCTATGTCATAACCCAATTCTAGGTCATTCCCTAATTTTTGACCCGTGTTTGGATAAAGTTTTAGAAAAATCTAAAAAACAGAAAAATAATGAAAATCTAAAAAAATATATTTTTAAATATATTTGTATTATTTTTAGCATTTTCAGCATCATCTCAAAAGAATTTAAATTTTCAAAGATATTTGGAACACACTCAACTTTTAACGTGTTATTTTTAAAATCATTGATTTTTCTCATTGAGTCGATGTTGATATTGCTCGTTTTTTTAAAAAATACAAAACAAATAAAAAAAGTCAAAATTTACAAAAGTTAAGGGACCAAATTTGAAATCCAAGCAATATTTTACCTATAAATAGCAGCCTTCAACACAAACAAAAGGGGGTAATTTTGACAAAAAAAGAGAGGAAAGAGGAGCCCTAAACTATCACTTTCAAGGCCAGCAGCCACCGCCCACCCGACTGAATTTTCTGATAGATCTCTCTGTCTTTCCCTTTGATTTTCTTCTTCCCTACAACAATCTGTCCCTTTCATCTAACCCATGCAACCCTCTTTCTCCACTACAACCACTCCCACTCCAACCTGCCTCTTCAAGGCCGCTCAACACCATTTCCTTCTCCCTCAACCAAACAGCCGCCCCTCTTCAGCTTTGGTTTTTCTCTACCCATGTTGTAGCCCTTTCTCTCTTTGACAGAACATTAAGCCAGCCATCACCCTTCTCAACCACGACCCCATCTCCACTGACCAAAGGATGGCAGAGTTGTTCCCATCTCCTCAGACCCATGGTCTCCTTCTTTAGCCAGCAGGTTTTTCCTTCCTCAGCCGTCGTGGACACCGACCCATAATAGTCTTTCTTCCCCTAGTGGTGGCAGTAGCAGCGTTGTCTTCCTCCTTCCTCACCTGGCCGACACCATAGATCTGCCAATATGAGTGAAAATCAGTAATGCTTGGACCACGGCAGCGACACCCACGACTCCGCCGCCACCCGAAGCAAAGGAGAAGAAGAAGAAACACATAACAAACCGGTCTGCAAAAGGAAGCGAATCCAAAATCATGAGGAAGAGAAGTAGAAGCCATATCTGACAAAAAAAAAGAAGAAAAATCGAAGCAGATTGAGAAATAAAGAACAGAACAACATATCCGAAAATGGATCTACACAGAAAGAAAAAATTAAAATCAATTACTGCTGTGCGTTGTTTCCTTTGTTGCAGGTGACAGCGACCTTCATTGTCGGCGCAGGAAGACAGAGAAGAGGAAGACAGCCCTGATCCATCGGTTCTGCCACCTTTCACGTGCACTATTCACACTACCCAGAAGGACTTCCTAACACTGTTATGGAATTTTTGGATTATTCTGTAATTTATAAAGTGTTTAATGTAATATTTGTTTAGTTTAATTTTTTATTTGTATTTTATAAATATAAAAAGAAAAAAAAAAGAAAAGAAAAATACAGGTGTGTGATTGTATTCGTCTTATGAATGTTTCTTTTTATTTATGATAAAATTAGAGAGAATGAAAAAGGATTTAATATTTTGATTAGATCACGGTATAGAAGTACAAACTTGTATGAAAGTTGTATTTCTAAAATCCGATGAAAAGACAAAAATTTTAAAACTTCTTTAACACATCACAGTCACGAAGCAACTTACCTTGGGTAGGGTGTGTTAGGGGTGCTAATACCTTTCCTAATCACAACCAGTCCCTTACCCGCAAATTTCTTACAAGACCAATACAATCGGGTTTCCTAGTAACCCTCAATTAAAACTAGGTGGTGACTCTCAACGAATCCAACAAGATCAAATCAAACATCATAGAGGGAAAAATTGCGGAGCTGGACGCTGCATGGATTTTTTGACGTGCGACAGTCCATACTGTATGGTATAACCGACACTTAAGCTATGAAAAAAAATTAATTTATCGTTAACATAAGTTATAATCTTGAATGCTTGATGAGATTTACAAATATTAGTATTAATCGAATAAGATGACTAATGTAGTCATGTTAGCAATTTATAATCTGATTGGAACCTTCTTTGTGTGTGGTTTTCAATTGAGTAATAAAAGTTTATACTGTACTTGTTTAATATATCATTAGTTGATCCTCTAACCTTGACATTTATTGTTATCATTGTTTAACCCTTAATTAATCTTTCATCTCAAAGTTCTCATCAACTTCTTCTTCTTTTTACTACTACTACTACTACTATTATTGTTATTATTATTATTACTATTGTTGTTGTATTATTGTTATTTATAATTTATACAATTAACCTCCCCATGATTCAACTCCGATCTTGCCGGGTTATTTATTACTTTGACACTTCTACACTTGGAAAAAGACATCAATTTTTTGGTCTTGTTATTGGCCCACCATGTTTAAGGACATGCATGCATTTTGTAAAACTTGTGAAAATTATCAAAACATTGATACTGTTAAAAAGTTTTACTTTATAATTCTCAACTTTATTTATTCCCTAGGGAGCTAAGATCAAAATGGAGTAGTCTCTTTATTGAGAAGCATGTGTATCCTTATAGGGCCTTTGATATTGAAAATCCAAAGAGTGGTAATGTTTTTAAGGTAAATGGAGATCTTATTAAAGCTTACTTTGATAATTTTTCTAGTGAAAATGAATCCATTGGTTTGAATGATCCTATAGATAAAGGTTAATTATTATTTTTTTCTCAAATTTATTGTGTTTTTTTTTTTATGATTCTTGGTTTGCTAGTCTCTCTTATCCCGGTTAAATGGCGAATAATGGTACTCCATGACTTTTAAGTTAGTTCTTTTAGTTTTCCATGATAACTGATATCTATGTATATATTTGTTCAATTTTCTTGTTTATTCTCTTCTCTTTACATCTCTTTTCCACTTCTCATCTTAAAAAATGGACACCACTCTTGAAAAATTAAAAAAATATTTTCCCGCTTTACCTCAAAATGCAATTACAAAAATTTACCGAGCTAGGTATGTAAGATTGAGGTTGTTAATGAACCATAAAATTCTTGAAGAAATTCACTGGTTAATTGAAGCAAATGTCTGATTATTAGATGAGCCTTTTAATTCTTTCATTTCATATGTGCTTGGAACAAGTAGAAACACTTTTGTAAAGAAAAATCATACAAAACGACTAAAAGTCTGCCATCAATGTACCAGATGGACTTGCAATGCACAATGTCATTCTTTAGGAATGGTATATATAAACCGCGAAGATAAATTATTATTCATTAAGGATGACCTAAGTAAGGGGTCTTTTGATAATCTTCTATTGACTCTTTAGACGCATCCTAATGGAGATGTGCTTTGTGTAATTCATGATTTATGGCCCCATCTTCATAAAGAACACGATCAATTTAGTCTTGAAAATCTGATTAAAAAAGACCTTGTTTGCTAGTTTTTAAGAAAACTGGATAAGAAGCTTATCCTCAACCCATAAAGGGCATTTAAGTCGTTCTTGGACGTAAAACCAAGAGAAGATATAAGCCACAATCACAACTACTTGTATATATACATGTTTTTTAATAAATAAATAAATAAAAAGAGAGAGAGAAAGTGTGTGAGACTCTAGCTGGCTTACATATAGGTGGTATGATTGCCTTTTTAATTTCTCATCTATAAAATCCTCTCTTCCTTCCTTTCATTTCTACTCAACCCATACATTCAATAAATATAAAAATGTATAGAAATGACAAGTTTCTCAGGTCATCACATAAGAAATATTTGTGTTTTCGGTAGATCTAGTCCTGGGAAAGAAAATGAGTTTTTTGAATTAGCAAATCATCTTGGTAAGGTGCTAGCTGAGAGAAAGATTTATTTAGTGTATGGGAGAGGCAGTCCTAGGTTAATGAGAGGTATGTTAATAACTGTATTTTTAGGAAGTAGTCAATTTTTTGGGGTCGTCTCCAAAGCTTTAGCATAAGGGGACATCATTGGAAAAATAATTGGAGAGGAACTACAAATCTCCACAATATCTGCTTGAATGAATGCAATGTTTGACCATGCTGATGCTTTTATTGCCTTACCAGGTGGTCTGGGCACATTGGGAGAGATCTTTCATATTTGCTTTTAGGCCTAACTACACATTCATCATAAACTGATAGGTCTGTTAAAATGTTAATGGTTATTATGATAGTTGTTATATTTTCTTAATTATGTTTGTCGCACGTGTGCGGCGTCGCGACGATCATCCACCATCCATGCTAACGATGGGATGTGGTGTATTTCTAGCAAGATATGAATGGGAGTCGCCACCTAGTATTCTGGTAACTAGGAACCCTAACTGGTCTTAAAGATCGGGTACAGAGATTGGTTGCGTAAAGGGAAGGTATTAACACCCCAAATATGCCCTATCTAAGGTAGGCTGTATTGTTTTGTCTGATAAAATATGAAATCATGTTGTGGTATCTAATTATATGTGTATCTAAGTTTTAAAAAAAGTCTTTTGTAAGGAGATCTTTATCTTATCTGGGAAAACCTAGTTGTTCTATGTCGTTAATAAAAACAAACACTTTTTAATATAATGAATACGTGTTACGTATAACCTCATAATCCCTAATACTAAACAAAACAAATTAATTTTTTTTTGTTGTTTTTGATATTTTGGTCAATGTTCTTTTGACTTTAATAAACTGGTTATTAAAGCCAAAATGTATACTAAAAAAATTGTTTTTGATGTAAGAAAATATAATATGATTTTTTTAGCTTTGAGACACTTGGTCGTATGCACAAAAACATTTTGTTTGTTTCTTTTCAAAAAAATTTTAAGTATTGATAAAAAAACCCGGGTATTTTTAAGACCAGATTTGTATTTTTTTTATGACATAAAATACAAACCAATACTAAGCAGAAAGGCATAAATAAAAAAAAAGAAATTAAAAATATAAAAAATTAATTACTTATTTTTAAAATGGGCCGGAATCGGCCTAGATCAGTGGTTGGGCCGAACCCGACCCAAAAGCAAATGGGCTGGTTACTGTACAGTGACCCGTGTACAGTAACCAACCCCTATTTTTTTTGCTGCAGAACGTGAATTAATTCACGTTCTGCATGCAAACATAGACGGTGGCTGAGCAAAAGGAGAAAAAAACGGGGCAGCTGGAGGTTACCTGGTATTGACGTCGAGGCGGTGCTGCTGGCAGTGGAGAGACAGTGGCCGGTGTTTTGCTGTGTTTTTCTTCTCTCTCTCTCTCTCTCCTCGGTTTTTTCACACTTTTCTGCTTCTTTTTCTCTTCCTTTTTTTTTTGCTCTCTCTTTTCTCTTCTCCTCTCTCTTGTGTTTTGTTTCCTTCTCTCCTTTTTTTTCTCCCTCTTTTTGTTTTTTTTTTCTTCCTCCTCTTCTCTCTTTCTTTTTCTACTGCCTCCCCTGCTTTTATAGGCAAAAACAAGGGAGGGACGTGGCTGGGGCGACCGCTGTGCTACCGCTCCTCCACTGTTCTTCCAGCACGTGGAAAGTGGGTTGTGTCGGCGTCTTTTTGAAGGTGAAATGTCAGCAAAAATATTGGTGAAAACAGAGGAGAAAAACACATTTTCTTCCCCTGTTTTGTGTGTCCAGGGGAAGAAGATGATGGTGCCATTCAAAACAACACCGTTTTGAGTTTTTTTGTTTTTTTTTTAAATAGTGCATGAAACGATGTTGTTTTTTTCCAAAATGTGTCGTTTCATTTAAAGGAGAATTGGAGCCAAAATATGTCAGATTCCAAATCTAGCCTTCAATTTACGCGTGTTTTATAATTTGGTCCTTGGTTTCAGATTTCTTCAATTAAGTCCCTAATTGGCCATAAAACTTCAATATTTATGCAATTAAGCCCCTGATTTGATCAAATAAACTTTCAAAAATTATATTTTGACCCCATAACTTTAATTTCTTCTTATATAAGCCCAAATTAACTCAAAAATCAAATTTTCTTGCAATCAAAACCTCCATAAATTCAATTAAGCTTTTCTCCAAATTTAATTGAATCCATAAACATCTTATTTGGGACTTTTCTTCCTAAAATTGAAGTTTCTTTGTCAACACGACTCTCATCAGTTAACAAAATACTGCCAAAATTTAATCTTTGTAATTGTAAACCTCCTCAACCAATTTGTGACCATTTTCTTAGCATTCTGACATCCTTTTTTTTATTGTTATTATTTTTTAATTAGTTATTATTATTATTTTATATATGTATATATTTTACACGGGGGCCCAAAAATGGGTTACAACAATGTTGTGGAACATGAATTTCTAACATTTTTTGCATGACAAATCATAATTTTTGCTGTTATTGCTAAACAATTGATTGACCAACTATAATATTTTATTCCTGTAATTGATTCCTCTATGAGTCGAACAAATTGGTCATCTAAGGAAAGCCATAAAAATCTTAGATTAGATTTGAGTCTTCATTTATGAATCTTTGTGTCCTATTCTTTTATTATTATGTTTTGTTGTTTTTTATATTTATTTTTTGTTATTTCAGGGGATGTATTCTATACTTTATCTTTCTACTTTAGAACATTGAGGACAATGTCTCATTTTAATTGGGGGGAAAGGGTGGTAGTTGAAAAAAAAATCTATTTCATAAAGTATATGCAAAATTGTTGTTACTAGGATGATAGAGTAAATGAGCTCTTTTGTCAAAATTACTCTTGAAACATATCTTAGTAACCATTCTTAACAACGTCTATTATAATACTTCTTGGAATGTTCAGATTTACAAACTCTCATATTATTATCATTTAATTCTGCTCATATATTCATTTAACATATATTCTTAAACCTTAATTTTCACACACATACTTTAACATATGATTATGGGTTGCCCATTGAATTATTACATTATTTATGTTTTTTTGTTAAAGGTAATAACTAAGGGAAAGGGATAGTATATAATTTGAAAAAAAAAGGCAAAAAAAAATAATGATAATAAAAACGTAGATAGGTTTAGTTTCATAGCCTTCTTAACCTAAGCAATTAAGCCCGAAGGGGTATTTTAACACCTCATACCTTAAAGTCAACTAACTTTTAAGCTATTAGCTCAATACTTGTTACATGGGTTGAGGAGAAAAGTTTAAAGGAATCAAACCTTACATTATCTATGTATTAGTATCTGCAATCTAAGTTGTAAAGCTCGAAGGGGTGTCTCAATACCTAATATCCTAAGACTAACTGGTCTGGGAGTCATTAGCCCAAAGCTCATTATATGTGTTAAAGATGCATTGTATTTTTAAGTTATATGTATATTAATAAAAAAAAAAGAAGAAGAAAAAGATAATAATCCCAATCCAAGGAAGTTAACATTAAATACTAGAACAAAAAAATTATTTTCTTTTAAGTAAAACTCCATAACTATGTGTTGATATATTGAGCATAAAAAAATGTTTATTAATATCTTGTTTAAGAGGTATTGAGTAGATAAATAAATTTAATGAAAGTTTGTATATTTGAATAGATTAATGGAAGTTGAATGATGAATACCTTACTTTGTGGAAGTTGTAAATTTTTTTTCTATTTTAATGCTTTGATTACTAGGGACTAGTAATAAGCTAATTGGGAGGTGTGATTAGTACTTAAAAGTGAATTTATATCAAGGTTTTATATCATTATTTTGCACTTAAAGTATTAATAACTCCTTAACTAAAAGATGTTTTATAATAACATATCTAATAATATAAGATACTTTAATTTGTGGTAAATATTTATCTTAAATGCAGGTCTATCATATAAATGAAAGAATTGATTGATGAGTTTAAGTACTGAAATTAAAAGGATAAAGAGATGGCTAAACTTAGAAAAGAGATGTTGGTGCAGTCCAAACGGGAACATTATTTGATAATTGGGTCTATCTGAAGCTGTAAATCTCGAATTTAAGTCTACTTTATACGGATGGAAAGGTAAGACATAGGTTATAACTTTTATGAGAGTCTAAGATTTAAAAAGATCGTTTTCAAGTTCAAATTATAGCAATAAAGATATTATGCATTAAGGTGCATGGATTCAATTAAGGTGCATGAATTCATTCAAATGCTTAATCAATAGATAACATGATCTTAAATTAGACCAAAATTTCCATCAATTAAAGAGTATTTTATTATGAATTGATATAAAAAATAATTATGTTTACTAGTGATTAAAAGTATAGTATATGACAACTCAAACAATTAGAGATATAATTGATAAATTAAAAAAATATTTAATATTTATATTTAATCTATTTATACAAAACAATAAGCCAACGAGAACAATATTAGCCTGTAAGAATCTTTTTAAGTTATTATTTTAGATGCTATGTATTATATGTTGGTATAGAATTATTGTCAAAAACTTTCGTAGTTTTATAGTCTTTGAAAAATATAGAAATAGATAAATAAAAATTTATTGTACATATTAAAAAATATATTTTTAATAAGATTAAAAATAAAAACATTATGAAGAAGTTTTAAAATATAAAATCTCAAAAAAATAATTATAATATAATTTTTTTTATTTTAAAAATTCTCAAATTAATTTTGCTCTATTTAAATTAATATATATATATATATATATTCAATTAATTTTTTTATATAATATATGTCTATATAATATATAATAATAAATATTTATTAATATTTACTCCCTTATTTAAATTGCTCCACCACTACTTATAGCTACAATCAAGATTGTGAATGTAAATTTATTGTGAACACAGTGGTTGTTCCATTCCTTTCTTTATTTTTATCTGGATGAATTCAGGGGTAATTCTAAAACACTCTTCTCGAGAAAATTATATTAAAAAAATCCCTAATTTTGTTTTTACCAATAAAACCTTGAAAAACTTTACAATTTTTTTTTTATCATAGATTTATAGTTCTAAAAGAGAGTTAAACATTTAAACTTTTTAAAATTAGATTTTTATTAATGGGAAAAGTGGCTACCTGTTCAAATTCTCTTCAAAATGAAAATCTCATCAAATTAAAGAGTGGCTTCCTTTTCTTTTTTAGTGGAAAAGGTTTAATTTCTAAAAATAAAAATAAAAAATACATAAATTCATCTTGAACAAATCAATACCCCTAAGGTTTTGCTAAAAGTCCTTGCATTTAAAAAAGATTAAAAAATAGAAAATATGATTCAATAAAAGCATAAACAAAACCATTATAGAGTTGAATTTACAAATCATATGCTTTTAAATATGAGTCCACATTAAAAGCGCAACCTCGATACAGAGATTTGTTAAAAATAATTTTTTTACAAATCGCCTAGATAGAAAAAAAAGTTTACTGAGTTGAATTTACCAATTATATGCTATTTTTTTATTCTCCTGATCATCACCTTTAGCAGTTACAGATTATCTACTGCTTGCTTTAAAATTTGGCATAAACGCAAAGAATCTCACACTGATAAAGAGTCTTGTGGATGCATATTCCTATCCTTTCCCCCACTGAGATCGAAATAAAATACAGACAGACATGGCATCCATATATATTAATTTAGCTTCAACTCAAGCTGAATTAATATATATTACTACAAGTTTCAACAGCTTCACCTAATTTCCTTTTACCTTAAGGAAATATGGGAACCCTTGATCCACACTTACATATATACACTACAACACATGATCTGTATCTTAAACCCTGCGAATTTCTTGAATCAACAAGCAAATATTAACCACGTACAAGCCAGGATATATGAAGGTTTTATTTGAAAAATTTTGTTGGAAAATCCTCCATCTTTCGGATTCAATCAGGAAAAGGTAACCTGCAAGACAATTTCGGAGTTGCATTCGGACTGCTGGTTAATTTCCTGAATACCAAGACACTATGTGACATTGATTTACACTCTACCATGCAAGAAAAATGAGTGTAACATGCGAGCCTACCCAAGTGTAAGAAAAGAACAAATGTTGTCGTAGTCCTGGCGACGATTTGCTGAGTTGCTGCTGATATTGGTCACCATAGAATCTGATGACTGGCCTTTTTCGAGCAAATGCCCTTGGCCCTTTGTTAAACTCATTAACTGCCAAATAAAATATGAACTCAAAGTGAGAGGGAGTAACAAGGAGGAGCTGAAAATTAATAATAGGTCTCATAGTCTCACTCTCTGCTTCAATCGCTGGTTCTCTTCTATTAGTTGGTGCTCCTGCAAATTAACAAAAAATAAGGAAAATTGAATCACAGAGAATACTGATCATGATAATCATTTGATTGTTCAAAACAACATGGTAACCATATCAGTTCATGCACATCGTATGGGGCTTCATGTACAGTAATTTTCACAAACTTTGCATGAATATTTTATTTTTTCTCATTGTTAAAAGTAGTGAAGTGACCTTGGACTTGAGGGCATCGACCTCCCTTAGAATTTTTTCTCCCTGAAACACATTGAAGTTGAAACATGTGTGTGAGGTATTGAACAAAGTCTTCAGCGTATAAATACAACACAGAACTATCTACAAGAATTAAGACAAGACAAGAGTATTGCATGAATCACCTTTGTTTCCATGACACGACACAAGCTCCCTTCAATTAATTTTTCTAATTTTTCTAATTCTTCCATGTTCAATCCCTGCAGGTCTTCTCCCCTTGCTCGCCTGTCATCAGTGGATCATCATATGTAACAGCATTGCAAATTGAAATGTGATCTATTGTGGCAACAAGTTATTGATCCTGAGATTTTACCTCAGTTCACGGGTTTTATCTGCTATGTCCTTGTTCAACATGGCAAGCACAGCACTGTCAAGCTAAAAGGACAGAAACGAATATTGCCTTTATTAATACACGACCATGGTATCTTATGGAATTTATAAATTGAGATTCTTGAACCTAATTCAAAGTTTTTGAAACAAGCTTTTGAGTGAAAGAAGAGGAAAAACAATGTTACGAAAAGGTAGCCATGCACTTATTAGATAATTTGACTCACCAATCCAATATTAATCAGCAAGAGCAAAAAAGGAATATATATATATATATATGAACAACCTTGTTGTGGTTTCGAATTCAATATAACTTGATATGCTACAGTATAAAAATTAATTACCTGAAGCTCAACCGATGGTTGACTAAATGTGTCAAGGTTTTTGGGATGCAGATTACGCCTTTCTATCACTTGCCCAATGCTTCAAGAACAGAAGGTAGAGCAAATCATTTCTTGAATTTTCATGTCCAGAATTGGCAAAAACTAGCTAAAAACAGTGCCAATGGTGGGATGTTTCAAGGATCAATTGTAATTGCTAGCAGCTATGATTCTTCCCAAAAGGATTCACCAAGATGTAAAGAAACAATCAACCTGAGAGGAAGGGTAGAAAATTTGCTGCTACTATGGAACAGTAATCCTCTAGAAAAAAATGCTGCTACTATTACTACAACAAACCACAAAACCTAAAAAAGATGGGCCTACCCAGAAATTTGGCAAAACCTGACGAGCAAAACAAGATCCAAACAGAAAATGAAGAAGATTAGACAGATTTTCAACAGCAACAGTCATTGCATGAAAGCCACAATAAAACCAGAATTGCACCAGCAGAAATTAATAGGGACACAGTGCTAAGATTCGCCATTGAAGTTTTGATTAAAAAAAAAAAAACAAGGCAGGAGAGGTAACTGAAAACAAGAACAAACAGCAGCTATGCAAAGACACGGATGAAGATTACAGGAGCCAGAAAGCAGAAGAATCTGAGAAAGCAGACCTAACAACAGCAAAAAGGAGACAGAAAAGGCAGAAACCAAGTAGCAGCAAGAACTAGCCATAAAATGTCAGGAGAAGGAAGTAGAATCCATGATCTCTAGACATTCACACACCAAAGCACCCTAATTTTGACAAGACTAAATAACAAAAAAGAGGAGGGAACTGATATTTTCAACCTCCTAAACAATATCATGGTATCAAAAACCATTTTTAAACTTAATTTCGAATTTTTAGTTTTTGAAGTTAAGATTTACAAATCTTAAAACAACCAAATTATATGATGATTGAGTTTAAAATTACTATAAATAAACTTGAATTGATAAAACCTTTTGTTTGATAGAGAATAGTGGCTAAAACCTTTACAAGCAGCCTCCAATCACAATTCTTGTAACCAAAACATAAAAATATAAGAGATGCTTGTTTGAATTCATCTTTAATTAATCTTTTAAAAGGACTAGAAATGTTTCCCAGGTACCAAATATTCAATAAACCCTAATTGCAAATAGAACACCAATACAAACCCTATATGTCATATTGGTCACTAGAGAACTATCCTTACATTACAAAGATTTATTACCCTATCAAAAGCTCAAATAATGTTAAACTAATCTAGACCTGTTTAAATGAAGAAATGTATAATATCAAAAGCTAGATCAATATAAAGTAACAGCAGGAAGATCAAAGAAGATATTGTATCAACTACGCTATTGAAACACTTCTCATGCATGGAGGATAAATTATGCGGTTTTCTATGATCTTAAGTACCTTAAATCTTAAACAATTTGGAACAGTAGAATAACACGAGGATCTAATCACAAAAGAATCTAAATAACAAAAGCTAGAAAAATCCAAAAATTATTGCATTAGGCAAGAAATCATTTGTTTCATCCCAAAGCAAATTATGTAATAGTATATCCGAATATCCAAGAAGATAATCCTATATTTAGCGATTGTGTATCTGGTAGCTTCGTGAAGCATCTTTTCAAGTGCAAGTAATTCTAATTTATGTAATTGGAGATGAATACTTTCATTATGTAGCCCAAGACTCCATAGACCTCTTGATGAACCAATAAAACAAAAGAATATTCTATTTTATTACAAACTGGTGTTCTTGTGAAACTGGTGCCTAAAAAGATTAAATCCACTTTCTTCTTAGAGACTATACCTCTTTTATATTAAACTAGAATATTCATGAGAAATCACATATCTTTGTATCACAATTGACAATATGTGCGTAGGAGTGGAGATGGAGCTCGGTAGGATAATGACATCTCAAAGTTCAAAGAACAATCCTTTAACTTTTATAGGAGTATTATAAAAATTCATTAGTTTTATATGCAATTGCCTCTAAAAGATAAAAACATTACATTTTAACACTTAAATGTTCTATCAAAATCCTACTTGATTTTTTTTTTTTTTAACTTCTAACGAGTTCGGAACTGAAGCAGGTGGCTTTGTGAAACATGTTCAAGTGTTGATAATTCTCATTTATTTAGTTATTAATATGTAATTGGAGATGATCACTCTTACCATATAACCTAAGACTCAACGAATCTCCTGTTGAACAAAGAAAAAAGATAACCCTACTTTATTACAACATTCTAACAGTAACAAAATTTACATTTCTTAGCACTTCTACAAAATCTTTATCATTCTTCTTATTTGATGGTTAGAACATTGGTGTTCTTGTGCCAACTTGTGCCTACCAAGATTGAATCCACTTTCCTTGAAAATCTGAACCTTTTTTATACTAAACTGGAAGATTCATGAAAAATCTCATTTTTACATCCTTAATAGACAATGTGAGTGTAGGATTAGAGATGGGGTGTGGTAGGATTACAACATCTCAAAGTTCAAAGAAATCCTTCAACTTCTAAGGGTTTTTTTTTATAAGAATTAATGATTTTTATACACACTTACCACTAAAAGATAAAAACATTATGGTTCAACCCTTAAATATCTAATCCTTGAATCCATCCTTAAAGATACAAACTTTCATTACATATGCTTATTATTGTCCCTCTTTAATCAAGAAAAATTTCTTATATAGAATAGTTTTAAATCAAAAAATTACTTTATTAGGTAAGAGCAAAATTTCAAATCATAATTTCCTATATAGGAGAGTTTTGAATTTGATTTTTTTAGAAAAAAGGTATTTTTTTAGTCGCACAAACCTCTAATTTGTCTTCTTGTTGTTTTGGTCTGTGAGCATATTATGAACCCTAAAAACTTTCTAATAATAAGAAATTTAGAGTTAGATATCACATATATGAGAAAAAACAATGAAAGAAAAAACCTTTCAAAACATTATACATTAAAATATTATCTTGTTTCACAATAGAAGATGAAGATTGCAAATGTAAGTAGGCTAGTTCCTAAATATAATTACTTATTCAAATATCTCTTCTTTAGATCAACCTTTTGAAGCCATATATTTATTCATTGATTTAAACATTTTTTATATTGATTTTCAATTTTTATTTAATTAAAAAGTATCCATCTTTTAACTAGTTTACTCCCTTTTTTTATGGACACCCAATTTCATCAAATAATAATATATTGGATTGTTGAATATATAAAAGACCCTTGGTATGTAAAAAGAGATTGCTCAAAGATCAGTTTTTTTGTTGAATTTGTTTAATTTCTCATACAATAGATCATACAAATCTGACCTTTTGAAGGGAGAAATGAAAGAGAAAACAAAAAGAAGGCTACAAATTCTTATATTTTCTTAATTTTTAAAACATATTTTTTTAAAAAAAAAAAGAAAACTCCACTTAATCTTTTTTTTTTTCTTCTTAAATTCATAATAATCCCTTGAAAGATTTAGAAGTTTAAAATTTCCCATTAACTATAAACTAAAAGGAGGAGGAGGTTTCTTATACCCCTCCTCACAAAGCACTATTCATTGGAATAATGTTGTGTTTTTCTTCTTCTTTTTTTTATATATTTTTCATTCAATTTTTTTTATCTTATCATTTAATATTAGATCTATTTTTTACTGATATATCACACTTTCATTACATATATTGTGGTTTGGCGGATTAACCTCGTTGTACTCAGGGTTTTTTAATAATTAATTTTTTTTTCAATTTTATCTTTTAATATTAGGTTGGTTGAGAATTAGACTTCATGATTTATTTTATTTATTTTCTATTATATTATTTAGACCTCATGAACAAGAATAATGCTTAACAGGTTAACTCATTTTAACTCGAGTTGTTTTTTGTGGTCTTTTTTAATTGATTTTTTTTTTCATTTCATCATTCAATATTAGATTAATTACAAATTGAACTTCCTATTTTGATTTGATTTCTATAAAGATATTTTGATCTCACAATCAAGGTTGCAAGTTTTGGTATATTTTACATTAGTTAAATTAAGTCATTTTTGTATTATCTTTTTAAGAGATTATCTTGGTTTCATGACTCGGGTCATAGGTCCTACAATATTAGATTTGTTTTTTATTGGATTATCCTCATCTCATAACTCAGGTTATAGGTTTGGTTAGTTAATCCAATTGACTTAGTTTCATTTTCTTTTTTGAATTGATTTTTTCTCTAATTGTATCATTTACTATTGTGTTTAATTGGGAATTACGCTTCATGATTTGTTTTATTTTGCTTTTTTTGCCATAAAGAAAAACATTAGCAACATCTAAACACTTTTTTTTTTTACATTTAAAAACAATTTGACTTGACCCACACTGTAGCGCAGGTCAATAATCTAGTGTTATTTCTAAACACTCTTCCTACTATTTGTTTTAAACTTCTCTTCTAGTTCATATCATATTTATTGCCTAATAGTTTTTTTGGTGTTATGGCTTAAGACAATCGATGAAAAATACCAATAAACATGAATGGACTTGTTTAGAGGTTTAGAAGGCATCCTTATTTATTCTAATACATAAACTCTTGTTAGTTTAGGCAATAATATCTTTTTATATTTTTTTGCACATACAAGTTTTTTTTCTTGCTAGTTTGTCATTAATATTAAATCCTCAACTATTTTAAAAAACATCTTAGTTAAGCCAACTTTTTCTTTAATGAAATACAATCCTTTTACTAGAAACATAAAAATGATTTTGGATACAAGTAAAAAGTCACTTTTCATATACAACTTTATTTTGAATGTTATACATGTTTCATGTATAATCTCACCACAAGCACTTAGATTGCATTCATTTGTGAAAAAGATTCTAGTTGCTAAAAAAGAAATTTTAAGGAATAGAATACAAAAGGAAATGCATTGTTTATTAACTGGGAATGAAAATTAATTTTTTAGAAAAGTGTTTTATAATTCTCTACTTTTTTTAGAAAAATAGAAAACATCAAAATAATTATTTTTTAAATTCTCTATTAAAAAATAACAACTTGTTTTATTCGTCTAATGTTTTATGATCATTCCTTCTAATATTTTCAATTTAATCCAAATAAAGTATTTATTTTCTATTTCAAAAAATGTATACACAATAAACATGTTATTTTAATTTTTTTACAAAAAAAATATTTTCTAAAAATAAACTTTTCTCCCTTGGGATCTTTTTGACATAGCAAATAGTTTCAATCAAAATTAGTAATAGTAAAGCCCAAGATTTTCCCTTCTCTTAAATAATATCTCAATGAAAATCCTTACACTAGAAGATTAATTTTCTATAAACATGTAAAGTTTGTTTAGATCTTCAAACCAAATTCATCATTAATATTACCACATCTATATGAAAGTGTCAAGCATCTATATGAATGTGTTTATCATGAAGGATGCATTATCAATCACCTTTATAGTATAAGCAAATGTTGAGCAAAACACTTTTTTATTCTGCAGGTACGTCAAAATACTGTACGCAGAACATATAAAGAAACAAGATGCTCTGAAAGTACGTGGTTTTTTCTTCATCAGGGCTATGGTTGTATACTTGTTTTACCTTCCCTCTCAGTGTTGTTAATGAGCCTATGTGATGAATGATTCATTTTCGACTCTATATATTACTCCTCTAGGGTTTATGACGGCCATAGTTGATATTACTCTGTGATTTCAAGAGATGAAACGATATGTAAAAATAGTAAAAGAAAACACATTAATTTTAATACATGATTATCAATTAGCAAATAGGACTTAATTTAATTGGATGGATTATAGAGTGGTGAGCAGTCTTGTTATTATTACCCAGTGCTAGATAACTTCCCTTTTAGGTTAAAGTTTTTTCTTTTATTACGAAAACTCGAGCCTGAGACTTCTTGAGGCAGGAGGAACATGGGTGCATTTGAGCTACCAATTGAGGTTGAAACTCAATATTTTTTTTGTGAAGAAGATAGAACTCTAGCACCAGTACAGTTGAAATTAAACATTGCAAGAAAAGAAGAAACCTATATATGT